CCCCAAAACCCCAAAACCCCAAAACCCCATGTGGATAGCCGAGGATGAAAATAATAAATATATGAAATTCAATTTATCACTAACTCATTGTTCTCCAATACCTTTGTTGTGATCATTCCTAAAAATTGAGATCAAGTTCCTTATCCTATGCCTTCTCAATGCTGTACTTTGGATACGTAATTTGAAAAACCTATAACATTTCAAGTGGAGACTTGATTACAAGTATAATGCTCTCAAATTTCTGGTTTACTGTTTCTAATTATCTGCAGATGGCGAAGGTTAGATATATGCACTCAGAGATATTGAAGAACAAAAAGTCCATTGGAAAATGAAAAAGGTGTTATAAATTCTCCCTTTTGGAGTTGTAATCAACTCTTCAAATGAAAGCAAGAAATGCTTCACTAATCAAGAGTTCAACAAGAAAATTTATAAAATTAGAAAAAGCATTGATGAATTCTCTAATATTGATATCTCATTTATAAATGATGAGAAAGAAGCTCAGCCATTTGAGCCGGATTTCAGCGACTTAACCATTTTATTGAAGAGCCAACAGAAAATAATAGATGGTGGATACTCCATAGTCACCAAAGATATCAGATTGATGTGAAACCCAAATGAAGGAAATCAGTTTTTTAGAAATAATGAACAGTCTGAAGAAAAGATTTGCAAAGTTAAGACTTTGATAGTTGATTGGGAAGGAGAGAATTCTTATATGCATGTCTTTATTGATATTACTGATGTGGTCAGACTAGAAGAAGCCAAGAATAACACCAAGTACCAGAAGATCATGCTTTCTAGTGCTTCTCACGAATTTACAACTCCTCTAAACTCTATTACTAACTCCTTTGATATTATTTTTCATTCATTTTAATGAAATTCAAGAAATCACTAAACCTTTCTTGATGAGTCTAGATGCTCACCAAGAAGAAACTATGGATTTGAACATCTAAATTACTGAGAAATTTGTAAAAATAGAAAAATTTTCTTCCCTTATACTCTTCACCTTGATTGAAGATGCTCTTAATTTATCCAAAATGGAGACAGATACCTTCCTAATTAACAAGACTACATTTTTGGTAAAGGATATTCTAACTGAAACATATGACATCTTTTTGCCTCAATGCCAACAGAAGAAGTTAGAGCTTCATCTCTAAATATCTGTGTAAAACAAGGATTTACAGCTATACACTGATGAATGTAAACTTAAACAAATTATTATGAACCTTGTTTCTAACTCAATGAAATTCACCTTCAATGGATATATTCTTATTGGGTGTAAAATTGTCGAACTTGATCAACAAAGATTTGCTCAGTTCAAGATAGCTGATACTTGAATCAGAATTAGCAAAGAAGATCGGCCAAAGTTATTTAAACTATTTAGTATGATTTCCAAGTCAAATAAACTCAATCCAAACAGTACAGGAATTGGTCTCACAATGAGTAAAAATATGTCGAATCGATGGGAGGAGAGATAAGTTTGAAATCTATCCCTAAAAGAGAAACTACCTTAAAGTTAACTATTCCCATAACCATTGAAAATCTTGTGAAGAGTAACAAACATTCAATGTTTAATTGGCGAAAGTAAGTCTAGCTTCTGTTCACCTTTTACTGTTAATTTCAATTTGATATCTTATGTTTGGGGTTTTGGGGTTTTGGGGTTTTGGGG